CGTTCTTATTTTTTCATTTTGCTTTGAACTATGGTAAATTTGGTCGAGGTGTGGTGGCACGGAAAAATTTTTGGTATGGTGGCAGCCGACACTTCTCTGCCGACACCGTGTCGAGTGGTGCATTTCGTCGACGAGTGGTATATTTGCTCGGCCGCACCTCAAAACTTCTGTCGGCAATTAGTTCACACTGAAAATGCGCCTTCTCATTTATATAGGTTCTCTGTTTTAAACAAAATACAAAATATTTTTTGATTTGCTTCAGGATTTTTCCGTTTTTATCTGTTTTTTTTGCACTGAATAATTTGTAAATCTGTAGTTTAGCATTTTTTCAATAAAAATAAATGATGAAAACGCTTAAATACTTATTAATTATAAACATAATTAAGACTATTTAGAAAAACCGTAAAGCCCCCTTTTCGGTCTATTATCGGACTCCGCTGGTATGCTGGGAACAATATTTTTGAAAAACTTAATTTTTTTATTTGCAATTTTACATATGGCCCAAATCGATGAAAACGAAACCAAGGAGAACAATATTTTTTTCGGGTTTCGCAGATTTTGGATTACATCGGGGTCATACATTTTCTAAGGTATCAGACATCATCAATGGGCGCGTTTCTAAAGCTGAGATCCCACGATTGCCGCAAATGGACCAATCTGGAACAATTTTTATTGTGCTGTATTGAAGCACAATAAAAAAATTGTCCCAATGAAATTCTGTACAGTCACACGGTTGCCTCTTTTTATACAATTCTCATTGCCGTAAGTTGGCGAAAAGCAATACAGTGACAGTAATTGCCCCGAACTTATCACACGATTGTTCGAGCATGCGACAATTGTGACCATAAAGTGTTGCGCTGACCTCTAAATTCTGTTTTTTTTCTCTGTTGTGTAAAAATGGCGTATTCTTAATAAAAAAAAAATAAATCAATTGCATCTGCTTTGTATATTGCGGGCTCATTTTGTGCAAATTTGTTGTTGTTTGAAAGCAAAGAAGCAAAAACTTGTGCCCAACGAAAACTCACGTATTTATTTTGAAGTTTGATTGTATAGTTTTTTTATTTTTCGACGATAACTGCAACGTGCTATGTGGAGTTCAAGTTGCAACAGTTTTCTTTTTAATTTTGTTACGTAGAGGTTTTTTTATTCATTACAAGTAAAATTGGTTCAAAAGAGTTATGGTTGTTTAAAAGAAAGCTGCGAATTTACATAATTTATGTTTGGAATTAAATTTTATAATTACATGTACAGCTCGCAACAAATGATAGCACCTTAACATTTTGATCAGTCTTGACTTTTTTCTTCTGTTGTTTAATGTTAATTTTTTCCTATAAAAACATAGCTCACTGTCTAGTAAAAACCACATAAGTCCAAATTCCAAACTTTATACAAAAATTATAAACATTTCTTAAAATTTTGATCACAATTCAATGGTTTTTAATTTGGGTTTCTAGAAAAAATTTTGTTTTACAGTTTACAAAGTAATTTACAGAGAAGAAAGTGCATAATACCGTCAGCTAAAAAAATTATAAAAATCAACATGATCTCATAGCAACTTCAACCTTATTGTACTAAATTTTAATGAGCTACAGAACTAAATAACCATTTTTTTCTAGAAATCCAAATTATAAACCGTGGGATTGTGTTCAAAAGTTTAAGAAATTTTTATAATTTTTGTATAAAGCTTGCAATTTGGATTTATGCAGTTTTTGTTAGACAATGAGCTATACTTTTATACGAAAATAATGAAGATTAAATAAGTAGAAGAAAAATAGTCAAGACTGGTCCAAATGTTGAGGTTCTACTGCATTGTCGTGGGCTGTATTGAACTTTTAAGTTTTTTTTTTTTAATAAATTTATACTGTCATGGCAGTCCGCCATTTGGTGACATAAAATACCTTTCGTATTCTTCTCGTATGAGTTTTGCTTGTGCTGGTATATATCGCGGCAAAGATTCCGTTATCGGACTTGAAGAAAAATTATAATTTCACTACAAATTAAATTAAAAGTTATGTTGCTTCCGAAAACAAGGATATTAATTTCAGTGATTTTTGGATACATAAGGAAGCAAAAAAGTAAATCATTAATAAACAGCCTAAATATTGATGTGTATTGTTCACTTCAATTGCCGCACAAGAATACAATAAATATTGCCGCAATTTTGAAATTTTCATTGCCCCATGATTGCCAATCGAGCTATCACACGATTGCCGCACATGGGCCGTAATTGATTGGGCACAGTAAGCACAATATCGGCCTCTATTGCCGCATGAGTTAATGTATTGTGAAATCACACGATTGGGGCATAAAATGAGGCAATAATTGGTGTATTGCGGCAATCGTGGGATCCCAGCTTAAGACGTAGCTGTTGGTAAACTGTTGAGTGTTTGTCTTCGAAACGCACAGTTGAGTAGTTCCGCTCAGCTCCACAGTTGGCAACTTTAACGCCGCTTTGTCAGGTGGCAGTTGCAAACAGGTTTATTCTATTTTATATTGCTGATGTTATAAAGTAACTTAAATATTTTATACTAATATCACGTTTCTAAATATATGTTTTTAAGATGTTTGCTATATAATTATACACTGTTTACTTCATTATAACATTGAACGATTTTTTCAACACGGCGGCAGCTCAACGTTGAATTCTAAATACTATCGGCGCAACTATCTCTATTTATTGCAATTTCATTTGTTTACATTTATCAGCTGTTCATTTGGCAGCATATTCATCAAGCCGTTTTTAAGACGTAATTGTTGGGTCTAACAGTTGCCTGCAGTTTCGTAGCAGTTGAGCTAAACAGCTACGTCTTATAAACGCGCCCAATATTAACACGAATCGTCCTACTCTCAAACATGAAAATTCACTTAATCTTGAGACACATTTAAACGAAAATTAAACAAGTAAGGAAGCCTAAGTTCGGGCCGAGCCGAACACTAAATAACCGGCGCAAGTAATAATCCCATTTTAAATATTTTCTATAGAACATTCAGTTAGAACTAATCAGACAAACTAATAAAGCCATATTTGGGCGGTATCACGCCCATTTTCCAAATTTCCAAATAATGTTACCTGTTAAGGGGATTGTTGTTAGTATAAATTTTGAGTAAATTAGCGTCTTTAAATTTCGAAATATCGAAGTTTCAAGCGTTTCTGAAGTTTACCGTTATATGAAAAGTTACCGTAATTTTAGTCCGATTTCAATAAATTTCAAAGTTTTGCTCTTATGTGGCAAGTACAATAACCACACCGAGTGTGGTCCAAATTGGTGTATTGGTTACCGAGATACATATATGTGATCATAAGTGGGCGGTACCACGCCCATTTTCCAAAATTGTATCATAAACGTATTTCTTGGTAATTAATTATTGCAAGCATGAATTTTGAATAAATTCGCTTTAGTATTTACTGATTTATCGAAGATTTCGCATTTCTCTAAATTACCGTTGTATTGGATCTGGGCGTGGTTATTGTCCGATTTTAAATATTTTCAGCTATTTGGTATGTTGTACCAAGGCCAATAACTGTGCCAAGCTTGGGAGCGGTTACCAAGATATACACATGTAATCATAGGTGGGCGTGGCTACCCCCATTTTCCTAAAAATTTGCAATATTGGTATTTTTCGTCTAAAAATTATTGTAAATACCAATTTTTAGTGAATAGCCTTCAGTAGTTACTAAGATATCGCAGTTTTCGTATATCTGAAAGCTACCGTTATATGGAAGGTAGGCGTGGTTATTGTCCGATTTTGCCGATTTTCAGTACCATCTGTCCTACGCCCGAAAAAAGTATACGCACAAAGTTTCGTTAAGATATCGCAATTTTTGTTCGAGTTATCGTGTACACAGACGGACGGACGGACAGACAGTCACCGCTTATTCGATTTCTCTTTTCATTCTGATCACTTATGTATACATTTGTCTATATCTATCTCGATTTGTTTTGCCTGATACAAACAACCGTTATGTGAACAAAGTTATAAGCAGAGCTGGGTAATTTTTGATTACTATTACATTTCAATTACGGTTACTTAATTGTAATCTTTAAATTATATATGATTCGGATTACTTTAATTGTAATCATAAATGTTTCCATTATGATTATAACAATTGTAATCTTAAAAACTTAAGGACTAAGATTACTGTAATCGTAATCATGAAAGACATGATTATAAATACCATAATTGTAACCCTTAAAATTTTAAGATTACAATTACATTATACTAAAAATATGATGATTACAATTAATGTAATCGTAATCAAGAAAATGTTGATTGCGATTTTCTAATTTTCTATAGAGGTTTAGTAGTTAGGTAAATGAGCGGAACTTTCACGGAAAAGTATGTAAAAATGATTTAAATTTGAAGTAATACAGTTACACAGCGGTCGCTGTGTAGGGCTGCCAGACGTCCCGGTTTTCCCGGACATGTCCCGGTTTTAGACTATTTGTCCCGGTGTCCCGGTCCAACCTTAAAATGTCCCGGGTTTCGTTTAAGTGTCCCGGTTTTCGATTTGATTGCACAAATTTTGCTTAAAATTACTACACTGAGAGAAAAAACGCGTTGTAATATAAATAAAATTTTATGAATTTACTGGGGGAAATAACGCACAGTAAACATGAATATTTTTTACTTGATTATCGCTTTAAAATGTTCGTATTTAAAAACAATACTTTCATACCACGTGGTGTTGAATTAAACTGAACATTTGAATGCACATTAACCTGTCTGCCTGTAGCTGAGTGCACGACGATGCTTGCCATAATTTGCCAATTTCCAGAGCGTCAGGGTTCAAATCCCATTACAGGCAGCATGGAATTTAAATATTTTTGGCCTTATTCATAAAAAAAAGTAGGTTTAAAGAGCTTTATAAATTGACGTTTTCATACATTTTTTAATTTATAAACCTTTTATAAGACTACTTTTTTTTTATGAATAAGGCCATTTGTTTTTAACTTAATTATGAAAAATCATCCGTTAAGTGCAAAGCGCTTCATTTTAATATTGGCGTATTTCAATTGATTAATTCTATACTAAATACTAAAATTTATATACTTAAATTTATTACGAGTTGGGTTGGTGCACTTTCATATTCGATTTTTTTTTTTTAATTTAGCACGTTTTGCACAAGCAATAGTTGATGATTAATATAAGTATGTACCCAAGTAAGTGAAAATAACATGCACAGAGTTTTACAATTATATTAAGCAAAAGTCAGAAGTTTTGAAACAAGTTCACAGCAACGAAACAAATGACTGATAATTGAATGTTACCTTATATTTAATTTTTTTTCTTTTGTGAAACCTAGATTACTTATAAGTACCGTGCCGTACAAAATTATTGGCTCGGAGACTCTTTCATTTGATCACAATTTCTAATCAGATCTTTCAGAAAAATGTTGAAAATGTAGCTTTTGAGCCAATTAGTAAAGTGCAAGTCTGAAGTTGCCAGAAAATTTCGTTGATTTTTTGCAATTATTTATTTTTTGCTGATAGTGTCTTCCACATACAAACAAATGTCAAACATAGTTTGTATGGAAGAAACTCTCAGTAAAAGCAATACCAAAAATCAGCTGCAAAACTTCATTTTCAAAATTTTTATATAAAAGTCTGAATAGAAAGTTGCGAATTTGTATGCAAATTTATTGCATTTTCCCAAGTTTTGCACAAAGTTTAGAAATTTTATTTTTATGTTTTCTGATGTATTTAGTATAAACTGTATTTTTATAAGGAACAAAAAAGATATATGCATTGTGAAAAATTCTCTGTGCTTTAGTTGTGATAAATTGTTTTGTTTTGATGGTGTATGTTGTAATGATCTCATGATCTCACGTTTTTGTATTTTTATTCTTGTTTGTCAAAATAAAATTTTACTACATCCTTTCGTACGTAATTTTTGTCGAAACGAAAGTGAAGGGAGTGAGAGGCCGCCCCCTTAAGTGTCCCGGTTTGGCAACAGAGATATCTGGCATCCCTACCGCTGTGGTATAGTGCTTAGCAGTGCACGCTACCATTGCGCATAGCCTGTATTCAAGCCAGGTTCAACCTAACATCAAAAAATAGAGAATTAAAACGTTTTTTTCTAATAGCGGTCGAAGAAAAACAGCTTCTCCTAAAAATACAATAGCCCTTCGGGTCGGTGTAAAATTGTAGGTCCTTCCCCTTTGTGTGACAACATCAAGGCGGACAGTTAATCAAAATACAAAACTTTATTGGAAATACTACGACCACGAGTCTGTGTAGATTATTACATCAATTTTAAACAAATTAACGAATTCATAACAAAAAACCATTTTAGTTAATACAAATCAATATTTCCTCAAAGCAATACAAATTTCTCGATTACTGTATTCGTAATCATGAATTTCTTGTTTGCGATTACTTTAATTGTAATCCTACAAATTTAATGATTACGACTATTGTAATCGGAATCCTAATTTTCATGATTACAATTACGGTAATTGTAATATTAAAATTTTTAGGATTACGATTACTATAATCGTAATCATAAAAACTACGATTACGATTACAGTAGTCGTACTCGTTAAGGTTTAAGGATTATAATTAAAGTATTCGCAATCAAGTATGTTATAATTACAAATACAGTAATCGTAATGCTAAAAATTGGTAAGGGCTAAGCTCAGGACCTTACCGGGGTCACACAGGGCGGATCGTGAACGGCCTACTCCGGTAGGTTAGCTGCGAATAACCAATAAGCAGTCCCAGACCAAGAGCGGCAGGAGACGAGGGCCTGATTTAAAAGATCAGAAATGCTTGATGAATCTCCTGTGTCCGGGCGAACAGATGCCGCCCCCCAAAAAGCATCCCAGGATTGAGACCAGTTAGATCCTGTTCATGGCATACTGGAGCATGTATACGATTAGTCTGATATTGGGCTGGCGAGAGCAGTATTCCGCCACTTTAGTATGTGAGGGTGACACCTCACAGAAATGGCTGGTGGGCTAATGCTGCGATCGCCTCCGTCTCGTTAAAACCCTGGCAGGTCTTCAAGTACGTTCAATACACGTCGCCATTTAGTTGGCCGCACAGGTCCAGTTGAGATTTACTCCTGGTTTTGCGCTGTCTTGGCTCTGAACACAATATCCCATAAGGACTTTTGTCAACCCTCGCGATGGCCTGCTCCTTTGAGAGAAGGGAACTTCGGGACACTTAAAAGCGACTGTGCTACGTGTGGAGATAGCGGCTTGAAGCGGAGACCCAATTGATTGCAAATGATTAAAACAAAACCAATAAATGAAACCAACGTCGATGACACGGAGGAAGAATGCAGCGCATTCAGGAAGAGCAGTAGAGTCGTGCGCTCCCCGCCACAAACTCCTCTGCAGGCAGATTCCGGCACCACGAGCACGGAGAAAGCCGCCGGCGTGGCGCAGAAGGCTACACCTTGCCAAACGGCAACTCCCGGCAGCCGGGATAGTCGTCTTCAAACGCCGGCTGCTGCAAACAGCGACAAGCACGTCACCGCAAGCTTGGGAACTTGCGAAGGCAATGAAGATGAGCAATTGGCCCAGATTCGGCTCGTCTTGAAGAAGATGCAGAGCGCTGTCTCTAAGCAAAAGAATGTGTCCATGGACATAAAAACAGGTATGGCCCAAATCGAGGAGAGCTTAAATATATTAAGCTACCTCCGAGAGCAGCGCCGGAAGGGGTCTACCCTTTCCGAGCTGCGGAAGGCTGGCCCTGGCTCGCAAAAGAGAGGTCGAACTCGATCCGACTTCCCTACAGGCGAGCCGGAAAAGAAAAAAAATACTACTGCTAATAATAATAATAGTAGTAAAAACATTATTATTAGTAATCCTAATAATAATGGCAATAATAACAACAATGCACAGAAAACCGTACCAGACAATCAATGGAAAACGGTTGGAAAAAGCAGAAAGCCCAAGCCAGGGCCAGCGCCAGGTGAACCCTTGGTCAATAAGGGCGAGGCGACCAGCCGCAAAAAAAAGAAGAGGGTGAGAAAAAAGAAGAGTCTCGCCAAATTAATCATTAAGCCAGCTGAAGGCAAAACCTATGCAGAGGTGCTGGGAACGATACGTGGTAAGGCTCCAACCCGAGAAGACGGAGACCGTAATTCGATCTGTTCGGAAAACCAGCGAAGGCGGCGTGCTCATCGAAATGGAGCGCTGTGGCGACCACTCAGCATTTAAGGAAAATGTGTGCACTGCCATTGGCCAGCTTGGAGACGCCCGTATTCTCACTAGACGTTTACGTCTAGAAGTTCTGGGCATGGACTGCCTAACCACGGCCCCAGAAGTGGAGAACGCTATACGCGGGGAGTTAGGAGACAAGATGAATGGCCAACTTCGCGTCTCTCTCCTCGCTGTAAACTCGCGAGAACAAAGAATGGCTGTGGTGGAAATCGACGAACTGCCAGGCCGGATTCTTATTGAAAAGGGGAAGCTGCGAGTAGGTTGGATTATTTGCCGCGTCCGAGAGCGCGCGGATGTCCAAAGGTGTTTCCGCTGTCTGGGGTATGGCCACAAAAAGGCGGCATGCAAAGGCCCAGACAGAAGCAGTTCATGCTGGAAATGTGGTCAGCAGGGCCACATAGCCTCTGCGTGTAAAGAAAGCCCAAGCTGCTACCTGTGCTCGGCAGGAGATGGACAGAAAAATGCCCATCACCTGCCCGGGTCGGGAGCGTGCAAGGCCTTTAGGGATGCCCTTGCTGAGGCTAAGACAAAGCTTAGGAGAATATGATTAAATTTATACAAGGCAATATGAACAGGAGTAGGGTAGCTGATGACCTGCTGGACCAATTGGTTCTTGAACAAAGAGCAGACGCTGTCATCATCAGTGAACCCTATAGAACAAAGGAAACCTGGCATGTTGACCAATCAGGCTCGGCCGCGATATGGATTGCTAACCCCAACCATCGCGCAGAGAGCAGCGGGGTCGGACGCTGCTACGTCTGGGTTAAAATGGCGCAAATCACTCTGGTGAGCTGCTACCTGTCCCCAAACGACACAGCCCCTGTCTTCAGGGGAAAGCTCGAAGACCTTGAAGACGAATTGCGCGATATAACCGGCCACATAATTGTTGCTGGAGATTTTAACGCAAGAGGCGTGGAATGGGGTATGCCCCAAACAAACACAAGGGGAAGACTGGTCCTTGAAATGGCAGACCGCATTGGCCTGACCATCCTCAACACCGGAACGACCCCTACATATCGA